GGCTCTGTGAACGTCAGACGCTGCTCTAACGAGCATCCTTAGATTGAAAACACAGGAATGTCCAGGGTAAGTTGCTCTTTTAGGAAGTGTGGATAGCCTTTTGCTTGTAAGTGGAATAATAAGCCCAAAATTCTAGGAAACTGTGTGTAATAACACAAAGAACTCATATGATTGAAGAAGAGCACTGTTTCAGAATCATTGATTCGATAGGACTGTGTGATCGCAACTGCTTTTTTCAAACTTCCTGCGATATCTGATAGCGCATGTTGTATGTGCATTTCTGCAAGCAGCTTCCATTAAACTTAGCTAAACTTAACAAAAATTAGCAGTTCATACAACTAATGACAAGCGCTCGCAGGAGCACCATTCAACTAAAAAAGGAGCTATTTGGGTCAGTAAACGGCTAGTTAGGTAAATGAGTGTTATTTTGCATGATTAGCATTTTAGCGATCTTGGGACCCCCACAACACTGAAATCAATGACATCAGCAAAAAAACCGCCCAGCGAAATTATTCTCCTGTGAAATATTGTAATCTTTTCTACCAAAGCCGGGCGCTATTAAAAGGAAATACATTGTTTGTTTTAAATCCTTATAAATGTCTCCCAGTTCTTAAGATTACAATTCAGGATTATCCAGCTGAGCTCCACTCTCTAAAAGCAGCTTGCACCAATGAAAACTGCTTGTCTAAGCCCATGGACAAAACCAGTTATTGAGACACTTTTCTCACCATTTTAATATTGGAAGAGGTAAAATCAGAGGCAAACAATTGCCAATTCAAACCTGTTTCAAACAATCGAGTTAGTGTTCCAGATTTTCATTAATGCATTTAGTCAGGGCATTGCAGATTTTGAAATGCCTCGATTTTAAACGAAGCTTCCAAGGTTTGTAGCAGGCCCACTGTGGTGAGTATTTCTTAACAGAATAGTTCAGTTTAATCTGATCATGTTGAAAATATTTTGACCATAAACAAAAAAATCTTTCTCCCCAACATAAGGGCACACACAAATAGAAATATCTTTCGATTGAAACAAAAAAGAAAAAGCATGGTGACAGCTTGTTCAGTTTTATTAAAATATTTTAGTCGAAGCAACAATAGCATTTGCCAAATATAACACTAACATGTCTTAAGCGATTTTTCAGCTTATATTTAATTTACAGTCAAAAGTTTTGAATTAGCAAAAAATAATGAATAACAGAATGAATTTTGCAAAATACTATAGTTAACTTATGCTAATCACCTAAAGGCGGCCGTTGCCAATATAATCACAAAGCCTCTCTGTTTTCATCGAATATCCACAACAAAGCATTTGCGTCGGTTTCTGAGGGCTAAGGTCTCTATTATTGTTATTTGGACGATAGTTTCTATCGATTTATTACTCTTATCTTAGAGCTTTTCATATTACAGCTACATTTCTAATAACCGACAGTTTGACAAAGTCAGTTAATTTGCTAAGTATTCTAAAAAATTGCTAATTTAAAAACGCCGTCATAAAAAATGCCTTACAATCGTAACCAGTTGGGTGAAAAATTGCTCATCAAGTTCATGAACAAGAGAAACTTGTGAGAATACGACAGTTTGAGATAGTTTTATCATGAAAAAGATAGACGATTAGAGTTAACCTAAGTTTCAGAATCAGCCAGTTGAATGTGTACATCGAACTTAAGCTCTTCTAGATAGTTTTGTGTAAAATAAAACTTAATTACTCCCGAACAAGCGAGTTTGACCTTTTGACAGTAAAGTAATGGGATAGCTAAGTTTTCAAGCAATTCCAAACATGCCGAGAGTAAAATATTTTCAGTTTCTTGTAAAATAGACAGTTTTGATGGAGATTTTCACAGCAATCAGCTAAAAAAAACAGCCTTTTTACGAGATTGAGATTGTCAATTTGATCTGGGCATTCATTGCTTGACGTATAAAAACATCGGTTCATGGGCTCTGTCATGACCGCTAGCTTTGATAACCGTATATGGGCCCCATTTACGATTAGACCAGCGAGGTTTGGAGGTCAAGTCCTCCTGAGTTGCCGCCCCAGTTAACGCGCATCTTCCCAAGATATCACTCGTGTTACTAAGGAACAAGAAAGGGAGCCTGAAAAAGAAAGAACCCTTACCCTACCAATGACTCCAATATGTCAGATTTCTCTTGAAATTTTAAAATTCTAAGAAAATCCTTCCTGTTCGGCCTGAAAGCCAATGCGCCAGGTCTTAGCAATTCGTCGAAATCGTGTTTATCTAGAGCTGGTAGTTATGGAAACCACGATGCACATGCGTGCACCATCCAAGCAAACTTCAGAAATTAATCAAAGCGGTTGCGGCTTATGTAAATGGAACGCTCACCTAAGACGAAAGCAAACGTGGAAAACAGATCTTCTGTCTTCTTGAGTTTTGATGATATCCTCCGCAAAATGAATAACGTTAACATATTTCCTTCATGATGATATATTGTTACATGCTAGGTCCGGATATCTTAACTTGTCTCATCAAAGAAAGTAAGCTCTTGAACAAAACTTTACATTTTTGGCTGATTTTGTATATTTTCATTCTCATCCATTTCATCTTATACATTTTTATACGTTTTGTAGTACTTCAACCTACCTAAGCTGGCAATTGCGCTTCTAATTTAAATCCAAGAGCAAGAGAGAATACATAGGATGATCCTCATTCTTGTTTAATATAACGGTTCCTCTACTGCTTTTTCTTAATAAAAATCACTCTCGTTGTACCCTCTTCATTAACTATTTTGATACAAGTGAGGTTCCTTATTAAACATTGGACTAACGATTGAGCCAAAATAAAACAAAATGATATGTTGTGAGATCGTAAAGAACTTTTCTCGAATGATAACAGGTAACATTTTAATGCATTTTGTGTCTTTCTACTTGTCCGCCTGAAGGAGAAAAGGTTTTCTGCCTTTTCACCAGACAGTTTCCCGTTGTACAAGGTGTACTATTAATTCTGAGTAAGAAATAGCGTCCTGGATAGTTCTGTAAAACGATATTTTTGGGTATAAGTTAATACCAAAATGAAAATAATTTATCGAATAAGGAACGTTAATGAATCATCAAGCATTGCTATTTTAAAATATTTTAATTATTATTATCACTAAGTAGAGTGTTTTGAATTGTTATATAAATACGTTCTACTAGAATGTACTGGGCTTACAAAAGCTATTTGTTTTTCGCTAATAAGGTTTGGCCTTTGTCTGTAAAGATGCTCTTTTGGACGTCGGTTTTTCTTTGCACACGTGCCACTATTCAATTAAGAAATGATGCTTTTCGTTTAAACTGAGCCCACACAGAGGTTCTTAATCTAATTAGTTCTGGTAAATTTAACATTTGTTTGTTATCTTACATTAATTGGCTTAATTGGTTTTTCCTAAATCTTTAGAAGCTTGACCTTACCAAGTTGTCTTTTCCTGGACATTCCTATTTTTACTATCTTTCGCGTATTTAGTGGTTTGATCGAAACTTCAGTGCAATTCCAAAAGAAAACCTTGTCCAACAGACTATCTTAGTTAACCCATTGAGGTAAACAAGCTTTTGTTACTGCCTAGTTCAATTTACTTGCTAAAAGTTGTAACGAGTGATATCTTTGTTTAAAGGCTTTCGCAATGTAAATATCTTGCTAATTGATTTTTGATTAGGGATTTGTAAACAATCTTTTAGTTAATATATAGAAAAAGGCGGGTCTAATTACCATTGTACGATATTCCAACAAGAAGCTTTTAAACGACAACTTAAGCACTGTACGCGAATTGACAAATTGTACATTTTAGAGTAATGATATTGTACATATGTGATTTTCATTCATGTAAACATTCCTTGCAATTTTTGTGTCTCTCTGACTGTTTTGTTTTGACTGGACAATTATTGGACAAAAGTGAATTTTGGAGTTTTAACTGATTTTCCTATTATGACACAACCTCGAAGGAAAATATGTTAATAATTCTTATAGCCAATCGAATTTTTACTGATGTAAGATTATTTTAAGTTGAGTAAGATTGGCAGCCTTCAGATTCAGTCAGGATAAAAGGAGCTGTAACTAGGTCTTGTCAGAGAGATACTGCTAGCCTTGATTGTGAAAAGTTGAGCAACAAGTTATCTACATTAAAACAGTTTAAAGAGACAAAAAGTTTGAGTTCATTGTAGAGGATTACTGTTCCCCCAAGTTTCCTACTACAGTTCATCTGTGCTCAAATTCCCTGGTGAGAGAAAATGAGTCGTGATGATCTTGAACCAATTACCGCTGAAAGTGACAAATTCTAACCGAATAAACAACGGTATTTGGTTTATTTTCGTTTTTAATGATTGCTCCGTTAGACATCGTTATGATTTCCCTAGGATTTCGGTTGCGCAATTGATAATCGTCAAAAGTGAGGGTTTTTGTCAATAGTTGTCGCTTTTCAAAATTTTTATGCTGTAGGAGGAATAGTAATTGATAAATACTGTATTCTGATCGGCTTTTTTTTATAAAACAGCTCATGTAGTATCGTGGGTGAGGAGTTGATTCTGTATTATTATTATCACCTCCCTCATTCTGTGTTATAAGATCACCATTTTTCGCTCTCCTTTCAGGCAAAACATTACAAGAGTCATCGAGTTCAAAGACGCAACATACGGAAAAAAATCTGATGAAATGCCATTCCTCAGCAGAACGCTGGAGTTACTCCTTCTAATATTTACAACTTACTGGTTAGATCTGAAAGGTGAGTGTAGCACTCGGATGGTCTCTATTAACTTTGCTGCGTTTGTCCAGTGCTCCTTAAAGGCATGTGACGATTTGTTTCATCCCCAGTCTCTTCTTTGAACGCAAACTGTTATGCTGCGACAATCAATGGACAATACTAATATATTAGGAAGAAGAGACTGTCAGTTCGTTAGTTTGAGCTTTTTGTGAGCAGTAAATCTAAATCTCTAATTTACGCAATTACTGTAATAACCATAACCGGATTTTACACAAGTAGTTATTGTAAATACTTACACTTTTTCCTGTTTCTTAAGTGCCTGGCACCAAGGCCCAGATAACCTACTCAGCAGGTAACAGTTTTCATCGCTGGTCTGATGCCAAAGGTTCCTGTAAAAATGGCGGAGGAATCCTGGCAAAAATTAGAAATATACAAGATATTCAAACACTGAGGCAACACTTTTTACTTCACCAAGATCCTAAGTACTGGGTTGGTATAAAATTTGACACGACCAAGAGCAACTTTGTCTGGGCTGATGGAACTGTCATCCCTTCCAACGACGCTGATTTTGAATCGATTGTTAATAGGCAAGAACAACTTTTACCGAATTACAGAAAGCGATGTATGTACGCAACTGAACAAAACAAACTTGTGGCTGATGACTGTCAGGCTCATTATAAATACATTTGTCAAAAAGGATATGATAAAGCAACGCTAACAAGTAAGTTCACCTTAATCCGAAAGCTTTTTATAACTTAAAGTTTGATAAAAATTACAATTATAATTTGCTTGGATAGCACAGCATAGTGAAGAGAGCCCCTTTATCCTCTTTTGGTATAGTACAGTTAAAATCCTCCAGACGGTAAACCTGTTACCATAGAGTTGCACTGGCGAGTACACAGTGGACAAGTGCAGCGAAATCACTCATTTTGTGTACACCTCTTTGTCTGCTCAATGGAGAAAATTACTGTGAAACTCACAAGACCGTGAACCCCAGAAATATTTATGGAATGTTATTGTGTTGTGAGAAATAAGCCAATAAGGAGGGAGATAACCAACCCGCAAACAGCAACGGTAATTAGTTTGTGGTTTCCAGGTTTGCTCGCGTGTTATAAGTAGTTGTCTTTTTGTGTACTATTCAAGGTCACCATTAAAAACAACAACAACAAACTACTGTCAGAAAGGTGACCATGGCGACAACCATCGACATATATCTCGGAAATGTCAGTTATGCTGTAAACATATGTCCTGCTGAGGAGTTCTGGTACTGTTCATCTACCATGAACTTAATTATTTTGTATTTTTGTTTCCTATAGGCTCTTTGACGTTATTTACGGCGCCGTCCTCTCCAGTGAAACAACTTTCATCCTCATTCCACTCATCATCTTCATTATCATTGGTATCATCGTCACCGTCATTGTCATCATCGTTATCATTATCACCATCATCTTTAGCATCAGCTGAGTCGCCACAGTTTTCAACTCAAATGTTGTCATATAACACTGTCGTAATGACATCCACACAACCGATATCATCAATGACATCAGCTAAGAAAAAATTATCTGCTGCCTCATCAGTAATATTGACATCGTCCTCAACATCGCTACATATAATTATTACTCCTTCATTAACCTCCGCGAATGGTGTTCAGTTTTCATCAGTGGAGTACTTGGTAAGAGTTACTAGTTACTAAAGCTCGCGAGTTCAAAATGAAGAATCCTATACTTAAGTTGCTAGTCTCCAGGATATAATGATGCTAACAATCATGTTTCATTTATCACTGAACTCTATACCTTCACATACGATTTTTAGGTAACCAAACATGAAAATGAAATCAATCAACTTGATGTCGGCGATTCATTGTCATTACAGGTAAGATACATTTGTCCGTGAAGTGAGTATGTTGAAGGCAAGAGAGTAAAACTGAGCTATAGAAAATGTTGATTAAAAAAGAAAGGATTATTTTCGCAGTTCAACTTTCATTTTTTGTTTTTCATTTTGACTTTTGTTCTTTTTGGATTCTTCTTTTTTATGTTTTCTCTTAAAATAAAGTTTGGGACTTGCTTTTTCCTTTTTACAGAGGGCTGCAAACTTAACATCTTCTTTACTAAATAACGTGAATAAAATACCAATCAGGAATTTGAGCATCAACATACTTGTTAGCGGTGCTAAATTGGAGAAGTTTGCGGTTCAGTACGCCCAGTATCATTGGGGTTTAAGGAACAACTCTAAGGCAGAAATGTCTATTGAAATGGACGAAGTAGGTAAGAGATTCCTTGTGTGTGTGTGTGGTCCCCCTGGGGGTGGGGAACTCAAGAAAGTTTTTCATTGGAAGTATCCGCCCCCGGGGACCTGGTCTTCATTTTTATGAAACTGTTAGAAAAATTTTTGTTTCAGCTTTTCTTCCACCGACTCACGTTTGCTCACTTGTAGATCCAGATATATTGCTCTTACGTTAAGTATTTCTGTTCGCTGTTTATTTACAGCTTTGGCGGCAATGAAAATTCCAGCTGGTAATAAAGAAGATGTTATCTTTCCTTCAACTTCAGCTGCGTCTGGAAAAAACTTCATCCGAGAAGAAAAAAACGTCGTTACTCTTCCAGCAAGTCTTTTCAGTTATCAAGGTCTTCACCAATTTATCCATTGAATAAGATCTATTGCGGGTCGATCTCGATGGGCCAAAACTAACGTTTTTGGCTGGCTAACAGCCTGGATAATTGAATAACTGAGAGACTAACTGACCGACTGATCAACGGAACTGACTGACAGATTGACTGGCTGACTGGCTGGCTGACTGAATGACTGAATGAATAAATGAATGAATGAATGAATGAATGAATGAATGAATGAATGAATGAATGAATGAATGAATGAATGAATGAATGAATGAATGAATGAATGAATGAATGAATGAATGAATGAATGAATGAATGAATGAATGAATAGAGTTAGTTTGAACCCTACATAAGAAATAACAGAGATACATTGCCATCTTTATCCCCGATAAATGAATTTATTCTAACCAAGTCTAGTTTATTTTCGCAAGGTTTTGGGTTGGGATAATTCTATCCTGTTAATAGTTTATCTTATTTATGAATGACCACCTAAACTCTTAACATTTCATTGATTTGGTTAATGCATATCCTAACTTGTTTCTAGAACGCTACGTAGTTTGCATGTTGTACAAAAACATTGCCGAGCTGATACCAGAACAGGACAACAGGTTGGTTGATCTTGAAATCCTCCCGCTCTACAACAGTAAATAAACACCAAAATTTGCACAGACTGACTGTAGCCCTTCCCCCCTCCCCTCTCGCTCTTGACAAGGTTTACGCTCTTCCCACCGAGGACACCTTGAACTTATAGCACAGTTGTAACATATGACTGTCCGTTTCTGAAAAGATAGGATGGGACAAATGGTAATTGTAAATGACCATGAGAACAGGATTACAGCTGTGGTTTCTGTTGGATGTTGACTAGATATTGTTTTTTATTTCAATCTATAGGCAGGACATCAGCATTGTGTCTCGGGTTGTCTCTTGTTCCTTATTCCCAGAAGTGCCAGGTGTTTTTACTGACAAAGTGACAATTAAGCTTAAAAGTATCAAGGTATAACTGACAGGTTATAGGGGCCCGGTTGGACCATTTGAAAAGTTATCAGGGGAGAGGGGGTGGGGAACTTTCGAGCCGAATGAATATTTTTTCGTAACATTTCCTTTGTATGATTTTTTTTAGGCCAGTGCATGAATATCTGTTAGGATTACTTGGCGCGCATAATTCTTTTTCATTTAATTTCATGCAAGAATTTGGCTTTTTTTCCGTACTTCGCCCACCTCCTCCGGCTCCCCATAAGTTCTCTAATGGTCCGCCCCTAAGCTAGTTTCTCTGAATTAAATTCTTTGATAGATCAGTTATTATATAATTGGAGTCGTAGCGTACACACATTCACTAGCTCGTTCGTGGTCACATATCATCGATTAATTGAAGAAGGCTGTTTAGAAGCTTAAGGGGACCTTATGAGTCAAAATGCTTGATATTTTTTCGTAGGTTGGTCATCTGTAAGAGGCAATAATTTATCCAGTTGATATAGTTTATTGCTTCTTTTACGCGAGTCAGGAGAGCGTTAAAGAAACACGGCGCGAAGAAAAACAAAAAAAAACTATTTACAGGTAGTTTAGATAAGCTTTGATTTGAGGTTCATTTAAGTGGAAACTTTGGCTACACCCACACCATAAATTAGCCTCTGGAGAGTTGACAGATAGATTTTTTGCCTTTTTTTCAGTTACAGCGGGGAATGACAGGGGTCACGCCAAGCTGTGGGTTTTGGAATTTTTCTATAAGGTGAGACATTGCTCTTTTAAGAGGCAAGAAATTACAATGAATTTTACTACATCATAAAATAAACCGATCGTTGGGTGAGCAAAGATGGACCAGAAAGAATGTTGTGTGGTTTAATTTGAACAACTGCGATCAGCTGTAAAGGTAAAATCTATCAACGTTTCTTTAAGCCTTGGCAAGGTTAATTATACTCGCAAACATACAACGATATTGTCATATACTGTATTGTGTAACTTCGTTACAAATTAAATGTAAATTTTGTTCATATATCCCCACTCATCGACGTCATTTTTGTGATGGAAGTTGCCGAATACGTTTTGCGGTAGTTGGGGTACAAATTTTTGCTAAATTTCCATACTCATCACTTTCCTGACCTTTCTTGTTTTTCCTTAACAGAACAAAAATTGATGGAGCTTGGTCAAAAACAGGTTGCACTTTGGTTGAATCAACGCGCGATCAAACTATATGTAGCTGTAATCATCTGACTAATTTCGCTGTTTTAATGGAAGTTGGAGAGACAAAGGTACCAACATTTTCAATGTGCAAGGATCGCAAATTACTGTGTGCAGAAATCTTGATCAAATTATCGATTTAATTTTGTTTGTGTCACTGATTTTTAATCTTTTCAAAGTTAAGGTATAAAGTATCACCTTGATGACGTACTTGCTAAGTCAAAAGATGCCTCTAAATTCTTCTGTATAATAATATCTCCTGCCAGATTTCAAATGACAACAAGTTTGCTTTGGAGATTGTAACCTACATTGGAACATCTCTTTCTCTTTTTGGCGAGACAATCACTATAATAGTCTACTTGATTCTTATGTAAGTACACTAGTCACTGACTAGCTAGTTGTGCGCCGTATTTACCCTAACCTGAGAGTTCGTTAACAATAATTTCAATTAATCATTTTCACTCACGTGACCAGAGGTGCTGCAAATTACTTGGAGCAAAAGAAAGTTTTTACATGAGAAAATAGTTCAATCCCCACTGGATTTTGTGGTACATTAACATGGCCTCCGTTTCATTATTTTGGTACACCAATAACTAGAATTGCTGCCGTGAGTGACGTCATGTGAAAACGAGTTTATATATGAAAACTTTATAACTGATCCTGAAGAATAGGTTCAAACCACGTAACTTTATATCATTGTTGGCTGATTGAACGACTTTTTCGTCCTATTTTTCTAAAGGAATTTAAAGACAACACAGTCTCATATCCGTTTGAATATGGTATCGTGCCTGGCTGCCGGACAGTTAGTATTTATCATAGGAATCAGTGCAACTAGGCACAAGGTCAGTAATGAATAAATAAAATAAAAAAACATTACTGTGATCATAAAAAGTGTTTCAATCTTATAATTATATATGTTTCATTCTCTTTCTTTTGTGTTTTAAGGTTCTGTGCACAACCGTTGCTCTAACAATCAACTATTTTTATTTGGTTGCGTTTGGATGGATGGTTGCAGAGGGAGTGATGCTATACTTAAAAGTTGTCAAAGTTTTCAATGTCATGACAACAACAAAATATTTCTATGGATTCGCATGGGGTAAATCAACATAGCCTCCTTACTGTAAGCAGGTCGTCTAAACTTAATAATGAACTCAGCCTGGGGCTTGTTTTGCTCACTAGTTCATCTTAACTGGTTTGTTAAGCGAAGCTCAACTGCCAGTGGGGACAATTTGTTTTTACCAATGTATAGCAAATGCCTGGGGTTTAATATTTGCAAAACATCGTTGAGCAGGTCAACCTTGCTATTGATCATAAGATGCAGTAAACGCCCTGATTAACTGTATTGATAATACATGACAATTCCAAGCAGAAAAAAGTTGTGACAGACTCGTTATGTTGTGTCTGCCTACTACTATCTGTAAACCAGGCTTAAGATGGCTGAATACTTTAGCACGTTACTTTGGATTACTAGTTGATTACGATGGTGAATGATTGTGGCGATGATAATGCTACTGATGACGATGATGATGGTGATAATGATAATTATGATAATGTGAAACAAGATTTTATTGTTTTGTTTTTCAGGATTTCCAACCATTTTGGTAGTTTCTGCTGTTGTTACAAATGTGTTAATAAAAGGCAGTATGGACAGCAGCATGCGTGATGATGTGTGAGTATCTCTGGAATGAACTGATAGAACAGATTGTCAGATAAACCTAACGCAGATGCTGGGATCACTTTATTTCAGACTCTGTAGCCTGGAATAACTAAAAGAAAAAGCTTCAGTTCATCCGTAACGCATTGGCAATGCATGCTGCCATAGGTCGTCTTCGAATATGACGTCATTGTAAACCAGTCTAAGATTTTGCTCCACTTATGTCCAGGATCGATCTTGTTAGCAAAAATTTGCTTGCAAATTGCTTTCGCAATTATCGCAAAAGAAATAATTGAGAAAAAATTATGTCAGAAAATCACTAACAAATATCGCAAAAATCGCAAAAATAACAAATCTAACAAGAATCAAGATTGGAAACAGAAGAAGCGAAGAAGGGCCCCGAAATGTTCGCAAATATCGCAAAAATCGCAAAAGTAACAAGGATTTTCTTTGCTAGCTAAAAACACCCGTGACAAATATCGCAAAAATTGCAAAAATAACAAATCTAACAAGAATCAAGACTTGGAAACAGAAGAAGCCAAGAAGGGCCCTGAAATGTCTGCAAATATCGCAAAAATCGCAAAAGTAACAAGGATTTTTCATGTTAGCTAAAAACACCCATGACAAATATCGCAAATATCGCAAAAATACTAAATGTAACAAAATTCCAGACTTACAAAGAAAAGAAGCCAAGAAGGGCCCCGAACTGTTCGCAAATATCGCAAAAATCGCAAAAGTAACAAGGATTTTTCATGCTAGCTGAAAACACCCGTGACAAATATCGCAAAAATCGCAAAAACAACAAATCTAAAAAGAATCAAGGCTTGGAAACAGAAGAACCTAAGAAAGGCCCTGAAATGTCCGCAAATATCGCAAAAATCGCAAAAGTAACAAGGATTTTTTTTTGCTAGCTAAAAACACCCGTGACAAATATCGCAAATATCGCAAAAATACCAAATGTAACAAAATTCCAGACTTACAAAGAAAAGAAGCCAAGAAGGGCCCCGAAATGTTCGCAAATATCGCAAAAATCACAAAAGTAACAAGGATTTTTCATGCTAGCTGAAAACACCCGTGACAAATATCGCAAAAATCGCAAAAACAACAAATCTAAAAAGAATCAAGGCTTGGAAACAGAAGAACCTAAGAAAGGCCCTGAAATGTCCGCAAATATCGCAAAAATCGCAAAAGTAACAAGGATTTTTTTTTGCTAGCTAAAAACACCCGTGACAAATATCGCAAATATCGCAAAAATACCAAATGTAACAAAATTCCAGACTTACAAAGAAAAGAAGCCAAGAAGGGCCCCGAAATGTTCGCAAATATCGCAAAAATCACAAAAGTAACAAGGATTTTTCATGCTAGCTGAAAACACCCGTGACAAATATCGCAAAAATAACAAATCTAAAAAGAATCAAGACTTGGAAACAGAAGAACCCAACAAAGGCCCTGAAATGTCCGCAAATATCGCAAAACTCGCAAAAGTAACAAGGATTTTTCATGCTAGCTGAAAACACCCATGACAAATATCGCAAATAGAAAGGACTGTCGCTCACAGAAGGGGGCCAATTTTCAGCAATAAAAGGGGCTGGTTAACATTCGTTCCAAAATATCAAGAATACCAGATTGGGGGAAAGTAAACGGGTCATAAGATATACCCATAGTTTTTTAAACAGGGATTGCCGAAAGTAACAAGAATTTTACTGCCATGTAAGACGATTTAGTACCAAATATGGCAAAATGCCACAAATTGCGCTAGAGTAACAAGAATAGGCAAGAATTGTTGAAGGGCAAGAAAGGGGCCAAGAACACCCGCGCATCACTGTTTTTCCCTAATAGTAATGGTTGTCTTAACTGGGATACGTTCTTTTCCAGTAATTTTGTAATGCGTTCCATTTTCGCGAAAATGAAATCACCACTTACAAACGTGACACTATTTATAATTACTGACAGTACCAAAATACTGTAATATCAATCTGTGTATGCTTCGTTCTTCCATCAACATACAGCTACAATGCATAAAAAGGAGTGCCGCCCACAGAAGGGGGCAAATTTTAAGCAATAAAGGGGGTTGGTAGCAGAACTTTCATGCCCAAGAACCCACCGCAACCATCGTTCAAAATATCAAGAATAGCACATTGGGGGAAAGAAAACAGCCATTATACATGAATGTTGCTGTGCAATACCCAAAGTTTTTTAAGCAGGGATTGCCAGTGACCTGGTAATCCTTCCCTTCCTAGAATTTTGCTAAATTTCTTATTTTTGCGATTTTTTCGATATTTGTCACGAGTGTTTTTAGCACGCAAGAAAAATCCTTGTTACTTTTGCGATTTTTGCGATATTTGCGGTCATCTCGGGGCCCTTATTGATTTCTTCTTTTTCTAAATCTACCATTTTGTTAAAATTGTTATTTTTGCGATATTTGTCACGCGTGTTTTTAGCTAGCTAGAAAAATCCTTGTTACTTTTGCGATTTTTGCGAAATTAGCGGACATTTCGGGGCCCTTCTTGGCTTCTTTGCTTTCTAAGTCAGGAATTTTGTTACATTTGTTATTTTTGCGATGTTTGCGATATTTGGCACTGGCGTTTCAGGCTAGCAAGAAAAACCTTGTTACTTTTGCGATTTTTGCGATATTAGCGGACGTTTTGGGGCCCTTCTTGGCTACTTTTCTTTCCAAGTCAGGAATTTTGTTAAATTTGTTATTCTTGCGATTTTTGCTATATTTGTCATGGGTGTTTTTAACTAGCAAGAAATATCCTTGCTATATTTGCGATTTTTGCGATATTTGCGGACATTTCGGGGCCCTTCTTGGCTTCTTTGCTTTCTAAGTCTTGATTCTTGTTACATTTGTTATTCTTGCGATTTTTGCGATATTTGTTAGTGATTTTCTACCATAATTTGTTCTCAATTATTTCTTTTGCGACAACTGCGAAAAACATTTGCTAGCAAATTTTTGCTAACAAGATCGATCCTGGACATACAGATTTTGGGAACAGATTTTTAAAAAATACGAAGATCAGGCATGTGAAAGTGAAACTTGACTAACAATAGTTTCTCAATCTACACTATATCTGCGTTCACTGAAAAACTTTGATACGTTTATTTCTATTATTATTTTCTCACGACCCATCGATCAGAAAAAACATTAGGTCGGCATTGTTATTAAGAGGGTTTAAGGGAGAAGTGCGAACGCCCAAGACACTAGCTAATTTTAAACAACTGTCTGAATGAGAAGGAAAGGAAATTAAGAAATTAATCTACACAGCATTATTGTATATTTAGGTGCTGGTTCTCGTTCTCATCTGGTTTTGTTTGGGTCTTCATTGGACCAGTGCTTATGGCCTGCTTGGTAAGTAAAGTACTCGCCCGCAAAACAGGGCGTTTGAAGCTGACAGTCTCGTACAGAATATTTCATGTTAGACCTCGATCAGTTGTCAAGCACGTTTACAAGTGCATATTTTCCATAGCAAGTTCTTAAGTGTTTATGTTTAAGTTTAAGTTTAATAATACTTTGTCGTGCTAATACAACATATACAAGTAAATTAATTACAGAAAAATACAAAAAAATGCATGACTAGAGAATAATTGGGGGAAACTAAATTCGAATACGAATAATAATTATATTCTCCAATATTAAACATACTAAAAATTAAGAAGTAAAATTTAAAAGTGGCCCAAAGCCAACCTAATTAAATTGCATACGTTTAAACTTATCGCTCAAAAGTTTCAAGTGAAATCCTTTTTCTTTATATCATAGGTGAATTTAGTGATCCTGCTGCGGATAGTTGTAGAAATGATGAGGCTGACAGACATGTCAGGGATATCTGAGACAAACAGTACAAGGTAAACTGGATTTAAAAAAAGAAATCTTTTTAAAAAGCCTTGGTTTGCTGTAAAAATTGATCGTATTCATTTCCTTGCAATCTAGTTTTCGTAAAAATAAAACGTAGACAGCTTCCTGGAAGTAAATTGTGAAGCATCTTTTATGATGTCTTTTAGGCAGAGCCTTAAGGCATGCGCAGTCCTTTCACCACTGCTGGGATTCACCTGGATGTTTGGTGTTCTTACAGTCACCGATACTGCAGGACTGGTCTTTCAATATTTCTTTACCATACTTAATTCATTGCAGGTAATAAAAGTTGCTCGAATTAGTATTACTAAAGTGACAAATAAAACTGATATGCCAATACTATGAAGGCTTTCATAGATTGTTCAAAATAAAAGTAACACACTAGTATAGTGTCACTACTTATCTAAAATTATGCACATAATAGATATAGCCTCTGAATCATGTATATAGCAAACGAGAAACACGAAACTACAGTTTAAACTACGTAACCAAATTTTCCCCTTACTTCCTATTTACTGTTTATTCTATCTTTCCAAGAATAAGTAGTTTAATTCCGTTCGGTCAAGTTCATCCATAAGAATTATTTTTGACAGTTTGGATCTGCTTATTTTCCAGTTTGAGAAGTGTTCAACTTGAATCCTACGTTTGCCTTCCTCTGACCGCTGTCTACAAATAATGCAAATGTACATCATGGAGCCAAACTGTGTATTATGTCCTGATGACGATCATGATAATAATGATAATTATGATTGACGGAAGCATACCTTGTTACTAACAACAAAGTTTCAACAAAACACAGGAACACAATGTTAATTTTATCCTTTCAGGGTTTCTTCATCTTCATTTTTCACGTTATTCGAAGCAAAGAAATCAAAGCGGCTTTGGAAATAAGAAGGCAGAGATGGGAAACAACAAGAAGTATATCTGTGGCTACGGAAAAGTCTACAATTGGTAGAGGACGAGTGAGCACAGCGAGAGAAAAAGGCAACTCGCTCCGAGGCATTGATATGAACAAGATTAGTCCAGATGAAACGAGTAACATTAATCGAGACATGCCCACAGTCATGTAACAAAACATAATCATGTAAATAAACTAATTCATCATCAAAACTCTTGTTTACATTTCTTTTTTCCACAATGTAACCGCGAAAGTCGGAAGATGTAAAGCATCTGTCAATTTCAGCAAGGCCTGTTTTTCCAGGGGGACAGGAGAAAACTGATGGTGGGCAGAAATCAGTCTAGACTGCAAAACAGTCGGTTTTTTTCTCAAAATCAGCAAAGAAATCGGTAAAGCGTGGCGTAAGAGTCTTACGCGCGCGAAGCGCGCGAGCCTCACACGCCCGTAGGGCGTGTAAGGCGAGAGAAAAAAAACCGACTGTCCGTTTTCCATACAATGAGTTCGTTCCGACCAGAGGGTTCAAAAATGTCGTCGAGCTGTCAAAAATCTGTTCGCAACTCCGCCCTCTTTGTGAATTTGATAGACTCGCGTGTTATTATTTACGCTGTAATCCAGTAATTCTAAAGCAGTTTTTAGCGTTGCTTCCCTGTGAAATGTAGTGTATATAGTGAAATGTAGTATATATAGTGGAGGATCAAAAATGAGTGAAATTGGCAGTACGACAACAAAGCCTGTGCCTGCTCCTCGAAGAGGGAGAAAGCCGAAAGAGCCGAGGGCTTTGGACAAATTCTAGAATGTGCGGTTGTTGTTTCAAAACACAGTTTGGCAATTTTACGAATGGATGGATAAGCTCGGAAAATGCGTTTGTTGCGCTTACCAGAAAAGGGGAAACGTTACCAAAGTGGGCCGACCTACTGAAAAACGAACTTTTCGTTGTCTTCGAGGAAGGAGAATCTTTCTCCACAAGAGCAGTTTGCTCTCCGTGCGGAACAACTGTTAGAAATTGCCCCGGGAAACTGCACGGCGATGCTTTCGCAAATTAGAGAAGAACTGAACACGCCAACTGACAATGAACAATTATTGCGATTGAAAAGAATGAGTAAATCCCCTCATTCCAAACCACGTCTTGGTGATTTAGCTCTGTAAATTACTATCTGTGAGAATTTAAAATCCTGCCAAAAACGCTAACGAGTTGGGCCCAGCGTGACAAAACATTGCAGGAAAAAGTCACATTCACGGACACAAAGAAAATCGCTTAAGATTATTCAAATCCAGGAGGCACTTTGGAGAAATAAAACAACTTAAAACTCTTAATCAGCCGCAATGAAGAGCTTTACATTTCTAAAGGGGCCAAGAAAGAAAATGCTCATGCGTCAGAGGGCAAATCATGCCTACCAGAGGAAATCAATATGAGTGTCACGACCTCTCAGTATGAAATATATTTAATAAGCGGCCAAAATTCACATTTGCTCAGTCAAAACGTTTTCTTCCAAAGCATAATCTACTCGACAGAGAAAACAATTCATTGGAAGAGGCGGCATGTTTGCATGAGGTAAAAGTCGTGTGTTTCCTACCGATCCCGCTTTTTTAGCCAGGCGAGATAATAATGACGGTCGGCCGTTGCACGGAACTTGAAGAACTCCTTACTCTTTGCATGAACAAACATCCGATAAATAAGGCTTTTGTCAAATCCTGTTGGTAGAACACAGAAAAGATCCTTTCCCCTGAGTAGCAACTCCAAAGCTTCCCTCTGCTCCGATTTTAAAACAAATCCCAATTCTTGCGAGCAAATCCAGGCGATCAACATCTGTCATTTTACAGCGAAAGCTTTAGCAATTCAGATGAGTCTATCTTTTTGTCGAGGGTCGAGGGTTCCATGTCGAGGGCGAGGGTACCATTTTTTTTTCCACTATTTTTTTTTTTTTGAAAAGGTAATAATCGATGCAATCAATGTCATTAAAACAAATAAGAAGAATTTAAAAAACAAATGGCGCGTGAACATCTTCTAGTTGTTGGGTGGGGGGGGGGGGG